ATAAACTGACTCTAGTGTCATCTGGGCTTTTAGGGGTCCTACAGGGCATCAAAAGTAGTTCATAAAATACTGTCATCGGCTGGATTTATTATTGTTGATACAGTAAAGTCATAATAGGTAAGGTTCTTAAAAGATGCTTTGCTCCTGCTTGCATATTGTCGTGTTTGGTGCCCAATATACTCTTTGTGCAGTGGGATTTATGTGTATTCATGCTTTGAAGGTCTCACCAACCCCCACTAATGTGGAAAAGAACCATTTTTTTCCTTTTAATGAACTTTTGATCAGAATTTAGATGGAAAACCTACTGTGCTTTAAGTGGAACTTATGCCTGCCTGTTTTTAAGTTAACACTTAACAAATTAACTTAGGACTGCCTATATTGAAGTTTACTAAACCATTTCCGATGTAGTATTTAATTATAATTTTCTTATGCCAGCTTGAGCTGTTCTGGATTTTGAATTAAGTAATCCAGCACTGGATAGTTATCCTAGGTGGGGTGAGTGAAATCTCCTTCCTCTAACTGTTTATTAAAGCATAAGTTTTAAAAACTTAGTAAAAAAATCAAGCCAAACAAAACCCCCCCAGATCAAAAGCAAAATCTTGGTAGTTTTAACGAATGAGATTTGGGGAAGAAGGGAAGGAGAGATGTTTTGCCTGTATTAGAAAAGATTCTCCAGCTGTCTCATGGAGGAGACACACAAGCATGCTGCCTTCTGGGACTGCCAGGGCTGAGCAAGGCTTTCTTGCAGGCGTCCCTCTGGGTGATGCTGGCATAGTGCTCTGCTCTGAAGTGGAACGCAGGAGGATGTTTGTTCCTTTGTTTCTTCTTCTGCTGAAGTGGTGGAGGAAAGACCCTGACTGAAAGCCTAAGGGTGAAAAAACATGCAGGGAAGTGAAGCAAGAGAAATGAGGGACTGAAAGCAGGCTCATTCCACACAAGGAAAATGGGAAGGGAACAAGCAATTGGGTAGGCGTTGAGAGATGCGGGAGGGAGTGATGAGAGCTGGGAGAAGCCAGGAGATAAGGGGACAGAGGTGCAGAGTAGCAGCAGTGTGGAGGGAGCTGTGGTCAGGTAGGTGGGGAGAAGAGACAGTTCAAATATGAGACTCCCCGATGAAAAACCCCTCTCAGGACTGTTTCAACCAAGGCAGTAACTGAGCCCAAATATCCTAGTTGCTACTTTACACTTTGAGCGAGCATCTGTGAAGCCTACCAGGCAAATGAGCACCCCCTCCATCTGCTACCCACTGCTTGACCAAACTGTTTACCCAGTTTTTACATGGGCAGCAGCAACCTCAGAATAGATCCCGAATGTGTGGGAATCAGCGCGGTCCTACATAATGATTTATTTTGATTTGCCTCACCACCATCTTGTGTGGGTTTTGGGTTTTTGATTATCTTCTTTTTTGGAGGGTGGTGGTAATTACAAAGTAACATTTAAAACTAAACACACTAAAACTCATTGGTATTCTACAACACAAAAATAATCTCTCTGGATACTTCTACAGAGAGGGTCCAATGCTATTTGGCAAGTGCTTTGCAAAATAAATCAGCTGGAACCTGCCCCCTTTCACCCCATCGAACCAGCCCAACGCCCTAATGTCTCATCAGGGTTTATCTTCTGTGTCTGCATTTATTGTAGCTATTTGCAGATTCAAAAATACTCGATGTTCTACTAACTTCCAAACAAACATTCCTCATCTTTCTCTAGAAAGGCAACAAAATGGCTCAGAAGACAGCAGTCACATCCTACACACCTACGCCCACAGGCGCACACAGCAGCAGTGCATATACTTAAGCTGTCTCTAACACACGTAATTTTACTTATTACTAAGTACTCCTCTCTTCCCCCTTCAATGCCTTGAAAATAAAAGATTTGTATGTGCATATGTACACGCAGGAGAAGAAAGAGGGAGGTAAAAAAGTGTGGGAACAGGTTTGTCTGCCTCGAGATCCCTCAACTAAAAGTATTGAGCAATCTCTTCAGATTCAGGTCCAAATCCAAAGCCTGTGGAGGTTACGCTTACTAGTGAGGCACACAAAGTGTTTTGGAGAATAAGTGTCTATAGTTCTAGAGTTTAAGTGTATCTATAATAAGTGTGTCACATGGCACAAGCATCTCTCTTTAGAGTTTGCCATGCAAACTCTGGCATATTTAGAAATAAGGAAAAAATTCTTCCCTGTGAGGGTGCTGAGGCGCTGGCACAGGGTGCCCAGAGAAGCTGTGGCTGCCCCATCCCTGGCAGTGTTCAAGGCCAGGTTGGACACAGGGGCTTGGAGCAACCTGCTCTAGTGGAAGGTGTCCCTGCCTGTGGCAGGGGTTTGGAACTGGATGAGCTTTAAGGTCCCTTCCAACCCAAAGCATTCAGTGATTCTATTGTATTTAAGCCATGTAAGCCAATAAAAATTAAATTTCTTAAAAAAACCCAAACACCTCATGACCATGTTTTAATTATCATTTTCTGTTATATACAGTAATACCATCAAATCTTGAAGGAATTTTAATCATTTATTTTTCACTCTGTACCTTTACATCCAGTACATCTGCTTTTCACGAGATGTGCCCTATCAAGCTACAAGGTGCTGCGTGTGATCCATAGTTTCATTTCTTGCATTGTGTCAGTATGGAAAGCTGTAACGCTCTTTCGAGTTTAGAAGCTGTGTGTTTATGCTGAGGTTGGGAATCATTAACATCCTAAAAGTTTTAAGATTTCTTTGAGGTAAGCCACCTTCATTTTTATTTAGATTTTGCAGTTTTCTCCCTTAGTTTCTCACTGCTGAAGTCAGGTCAGGTATTTAATGAAGGTCATTTTCTTTGCATGAGTTATTGCATTACTTATGAAGTTTGTTCTGTTGAGAAATAACATTGAAATATACTTCTTTAGGATTACTTTGATATTTCCATTTCCAGCCTAGACTAGAGAAGCAGAAGAATGCATGATACAAAAGAAGTCATTAATTGTGGATTTGTAGAGCTCACGAAAAGCTTTCTTTTAGTTGGACTTCAGTTTTTGAGCAAAATTTGAAGTAATCTGGATGGGTTGTTCATTCAGCTGTGGCGCTTGAGAATATGGAACACCTTTTCCCTATGATCACCTCAAACCAACACCAATGTGAGGATCTTGCCATGTTAAAAACTTGGTGAAATTACATTGAAAGTCTAGAAATAAGTGATATTTCACGAAGCTTTGTCTCTTATCACCCTCTTTTCTTTTCTTTTTTTTTCTTTTCTCTCAAATCTGGATTTCCAGATGGCACTGGTACAGAGACAAAAGAAATTACTGATTAGAAAATATACCGTGATCAAAGGGAAACTTCTTTTTCAGAAGGAAAAAAAGGCTTTGCTTTCAGAAAAATCTAGAGATTTTTTTTTGTTTCCATGATCAATGTGACCATGTTATCCTGTGGGAGTTGTAATTCCAGCTCCTTTCCTGCTTCCCTCTCCCTCTAGTGAGCATTGCCCCTCAAGCAGGCAACTGTGCACTGTGCATGTTTGGCCTCAGGGAAAGTACAGTGTGTCATGGGAAACAAGGGCCGACCAGAGAGGAGATGGGGGGGAATTTGAGGTAATGTTCTGTTCAAAATGTCTTATTTCTTTTTCCTATTGAGTCAGCTGCTACACCAGGGATTTGGTGTGAGCAACCCTTAACAATCAGAAGTGAATTGTTCTAATAACAAACTGCGTGAGATTGAGCCTTTCTTTGAATTATTTCAAGAATAATGAATCCTACGAAAGTCAATTTCCAAAACTATCAGAGAAATGCAATGTATTAAACTTATTTACTTGAGTCATTCTCAGCCAGCTCCTAAGAGACCCTGATGCAGTGGGGGAGGATACAAAGGCAAATAAAATGAAACATTTCAAGATTTCTATCCTTTAGAATTTTCATTTGGCAGAAAGTTCCAATTCTTTGGGTTTTGATCTTTGTTCAAGATAAAAACCGTAAGTCAAAACATAGTGACTTCCTTCACAGCAACAGCTTATGGTTTTTGTAGCTTTAATGGCTTTTGGAAGTATAATCTTCAGATAGGGTATGTTCTTGTCAAGCAGATGAGAATAACACCTTCAACAATATCTTCATTACTTTTTTATGTATTTCTTGCCCATCTCACATATCCTTATATTTGTATGTTCCCACACTGACATGTTTTCCAGTACAATTATTGCTCTCTTTCAGTAGGCTTTGACATTGCCAAATGGTAGTGCTGTCACAAATACTACAATCCCTGAACTAACAGGATTGGAAATGGTCAGCAGATTAAAAATGTTTGCTTCAAGTTCACTCTTTGGTTTAAAGGAGTGGGGGAAAACATTTGCATAAATGAATTTTTAATAGATACTAAAAATAAAAGTTGCTAAAGAAAATACAGCTTCTCTGCATTATCATGCGATTTTAATTATGCAAGCATTTATGTTCTTTGTGTATTTTGACTTGGGGCCATGTGAGACACATGAGTGAACTGTAACTCATGCACAGTTAATTATAATTTGTCCATATAGGGGAAAAAAAAACCCTGGGAAAATATGATAACACTTTTCAGTGGCAGTAAACACTAGTTGTTGTTAGTCATTTGAGGAAATTATTCTTAGCAGACTATACAAACTCTGGAGATCAAAGTGTTCCCTAAAAAGAGGTGTATTAGCACATGGCTAGATCCTCTATAGGAACAGATTTTATTGACTATGGAACTGTATCTTTCTGTGCTGTAACATTTATTTCATTTTTTCTTTCCCTTGAACAAGAGAGTATATTTTGGTTCAGTGTTTGGCAATCCAAGCAAGGTTATTTAAAATAGGATTCACTTGGAATTTACTGAGTGTAAAATGCTATTTTTAGAGTAGTTACTTTTATGCAGCATCGCGAACACAAAGCTTTAGTTTCCCACATAATACAGACCCAGTTTGTAAAGAGCTTTTAGACTTTGCACTTCTTTTCCCAGGTATGTGGCTCATAACTAGTTGTCACTGACACGGAGGGCAACAAATGGATAAAGGAAGCATGGATTCTGAGATCTATTATTTTTAATAATTTTTAAACTAACTACAAAATGTCAATCACTTCACAAACTGACAGGAGACAGAAGGAATTTCATATTACATGCTGTAAATGATATTTATCTCACAGTTTATCTAGAGTTCATTCATTTAGGTTTTTTTTAATTAGTTTTTCATTGTCAGCTACTAAACATCTCAGCGATTTGGTGTGCATAGCTCTAGGTAAGCAACAGAGAACTGTACCGATAACAAACCACATGGGGATAGCGACTAGTAAGAGAGAGCCTTATAAAAATTACATTTCTTTGCACCATTTCATATGGTAGTTGTTTCCTCCAAAAGATAGTCTTCAAAAGCAGCAGACAAACCCAATATATTACACTTATTTCTTTTTGTCTTTGACATATTTTCAGCCAAGCTTTTATTTTGCTGGCGATGGCTAAATGGTGAGTGCCAAATCCCTCTTTATTTTTATAATTAAAAAAAATGATCATGATTAATAACTATATATATATCAACAAGAAAAAAGTGGCACAACTGCAAACTTGCTGGTATAACATATTCCCAAAAGAGTCCGAATACTGAGCATGCTTTTGTTGTCATTGTTGGTGTGCTACTGCCATGGGAAAATTCTTGTTTAAGTAGGAGTCTAAAAGTCTATTTATTCCTCATGCATAAGTGCATAAATCACATCACTTTTTAGTGCAATGCTTGTTATAGTAATATAATTCCACATTGTCTAATCATGAAATCATAACAACAGATAATGGCAATGAAGAACTGAAGACAGCAGGTTTTAAGTGCTTAAACATCATGATACCCAAAGACAGGAGCATGGCAGTAGCTCTGTGGAATGTCACAGTTTTACAAGAACAATACTGTATATTTAAAGGTTAACAGCACGTTTAGCATTCCAACAGTGTTGTCATTCAGCAAACATCATTTAAAAAAATATATGAGGAGAGGGAAAAAAGGAAAGGAATTTGAAACAGAAACAAGGAAAGGAAAAATCCCAGAAAACATCATAGTGAGCTATAGCCATCAAATCAGCACTATGTACAACCTTTGGAAAGAAAGATATCTAGAAAAAAATAATTACAAGTATCATTTTTGGAAAGCTGACAAACTACACAGGACAACATTTACAATGGGGCTGATATGTGCATGTGTGCAAACCTAGTAGATAAATACCATGATAAAAGCATGAAGGTACTGCCTTGTTGGACAGCGTTAAAAGGAAATGCACTTCACTGCATTTAACCACTGCCCAGCATCTTTGTTGCACGCTGGTTGGCTTCATCAATCCTGGTTTTGTTGTAATCAGCCTAGGGAAACACAAAGGAAAGAAACAGATGAATACAGGGCAGAAAAAGAGCGTTTACAATGCTTTGTGGATGCTTCTCTAGTTTTGGCTAGGTCAGGGAAAAAAGAAGCTTGAAAATACTAGAGAGCTTTTTTTTATAGTGGTATTAAGGACCCAAAAGGAAATTACAGATTTACTGGCTTTGTGACACTTCAGGTAGCCTTTGGGTAGAGCTTTTATGTTTGTATTCAGCTTCACTGAGCTCTTGTAAATGCTGTCCCAGATCTGTAGCTGGTGCTATTGATAGTGCTAGCGGGATTGATGGTAATGTATGACAGGATGAGAACTGATCATGTGGATTTCACTGGTGAAAAGCTTCAGTGCTTTCTAAGATTTAGTGCACCTGGGCTCTTCTAATTTAGATCACCAGGCATGCAGTCAGAGCTAAAGTTTTGGTCAGTGTAGAGAACCGCTGGAGCAAGGAAGCTACATCATCTGATATAGGGAGTGCTGGCAAAGATAAGTTTCTTTGAAAATGCATCAGTCTGGATCTTGTTGCTCGTGTGAAAGGCAGGGATGAGGTAGGAGTGATGCCATAATTCCTTTCTCTCGCCAAAGTTCACCAGTGTAGTTGCAAGACAGAGCAACCTCTCTCACTGGGAAGCAGCATAAACAGGAATTAAGGAAGGGCAGGGATTCTACCATGTTTTTGAAGCAATCAAGCTGGGATTTAGTCCAGCGTAGGCTGAACTGTTAACTTCACTGTTTTCCATGGAGTAAGACTTGCTATGATTATAAAACCATGGAATCACAGATGGTTAGGGTTGGAAAGGACCTTAAGATCATCTAGTTCCATCCTCTCTGCCATGGACAGGAAAATGCTGTTAATAAAACAGCACCACTTTGGAGCTTTAGGAGTGGGAAGACACTTTGACCATGGATTTCTGTAGCTCTGCAGGAGTTAGTTTTGGAGACTAAAGACTCTGTTTTAGCTGACAAAAACTGGCAAAGCTCCATTCAGGCCCATGTTGCCATATCAACTTAAGCTAGCAGAGGGACTAGATAGCAAATGTTTTCAGTTTTTTTAAATCAGACCTCTGGGAAAGGTGAGAATTGTGTTACTGCTTTAAAAGCATGAACTCAAATAGCAGACTCTGTTCTGTGATTTGATGGCTGTATTTTGTTAGCTTTTATTGTTCTCACATCTCTGCGGTGTATACAAATTGTACAGATTTATTTTAGATCTCCAGTTTGCAAAGGCAGGATGGTGAAGCAACTGTCTCACATTTAAAAAGTCTTTTAAAATGGTTATACTGATGTGCAATAAATCATTCTTAAATATCTTGGGCTTTTCTCCATAATTGTTTTGGCAAATGCTGTGTAGATGTGTATTTTTAGTACAGTAGCATGTGCCAGATCCTCAACAAGCATAAATCAGCATAACTACTCATTATAAGCCACGTTATTTTAGCCGTGAGCTTGACCTTGCCTATCACAGTAGATTTTTGTGTGCTTTTGCCAAAAGGCTACCTCAAATGTAAGTTAATGGTCTTGGAAGCAGTTACGTTCGTTGTGAATATTCATTGAATGTTTAGGAAATGTAGTGCTCCTAAATAGGAATACTAAAGTCTAACTCTGGTGTGTGATGATGCATCAAAGTCAGGAGGAGTCTTTGTGCAGACCTTCCCACCTAGGTCAAGATAGAATGCTTTGAGCCCTTCCTACTTTCCTCCCAACCTATTTATGGCTCATTTTAGGGCCAGGGTCTTCTGGTGATGATGTCTGGGCCATTCGATCATCATTTGAGGTTTTGTCTCTTTCTCTTGGATATGAAGGAAAGATAAAGTCTTTCATTCATTGCTACCCTGATTACTGTGGATAGATAGATTACATCTCTGCATTATGAGATTACCTTGCTCTGGATGCACGCATCCAGTCTAACATAAATGCTTTAGGAGCATTCAGGTTAGCTTTGTGATGCACCCCAGCTTTTGCAAAGTGTGCCAGGCAAGGGTCTTTCCAATGGACATAATTGATCTCAGCAGGAAAAGGACTCCAGCAATACTGTACGCCCACTACCAGTAGGAATGATGGTCTGCTGGCACATTTCATTGCAAAATGGATGTGTATGCATTTGTGGTTTCAGTATTATCCAGCTAACTGCTATTTCTGTCTTTTATAGAGGCTTTCCCTGATATATTGGCCTTCTTTTTCTAGTAACTCATTATAGTTCTTACTCTGACAAATTTGACAGATTTTCCCTAAGACTGCCTTGGTTTCGTGCTGCTTTCATGACGACTCTGCATACACTCCAAGTCCATCTTTCAGAAACGTGTCACTGTTCCTTAGCCAAGGGCTCTCCCTCCAAGACCTGTCTGTGAGGCTGGATTTAATGAATCACATTAGCTTGCAGTGTAGTTTTTCTCTTGCTGTATGGAATGCCTAACTCTGTAAGAAGACTGCACAGATGTGGAAGACCAGCCTGCAGTTAGCCAACTCAGCGTGCGCTGCTTAGAGGCTGGGCTGATGTGCCTCATGTGCATGAGGAGCCTGATTAATGTTTCCAAATCCAGATATCTGCAAGCTTGAATTGATGGAAGAACAGTGACTTATTGGGCTTGCTGTAGTTTGTGGTAGTATCCTGCAGGCACAGATAGGATGCAGCTGATTTCCAACCCAAACCATCCTATGATGTCCATCCACAGGGCATGTCTCCTGTCACTATGTTATATCATGAGTAGGGCACCTGGTAACATGTAATAGTGCCTGTCCTCATAACTGCTTTGAGAAAATAACATTATGTTCTAGACTTATTTAAAGGTAGTTATGACGTAGCTGTATAATCTTCCAGCCCCTTCTTGCAGTGTAGATAGGTGCACTGCTTTCTAGTGCTTTTCATATGGATAAGAGCAGTAAATCCTTCCCCTCCATGCTCCTGTTTTTCCCAGGAATATGAAATGCTGCAGAATGGCATGTCAGTAATACTGTGCTTTTTCCAACACAGTCAAACTAACAGAAGCAACTATATAAAACAAAACTTTTGACCTATGCAAAGCCATGCACTCTACTGTGTTATATGACTGTCTCTCTGTCAGAGATGAACTTCCCACCTTTAAGACAATGTATACTTCACCCAGTTCTCTCTGAAATCGAATTCCAATAAGGAAAGCTATCTGAGTGAATTCTTAAGTGCTGCATTTTCTTTAACTTTTTCACTAGGCTTGATGTAGTTAATTAACATGAAAATTAGACATGGGCATCCTGATTGTGTGAGAAGGCTTGCACGTGTAAGAAGGCTCAAGACTACAAGCTCTACCACTTAAGGTCAGAATTAACTCTAAGCAGCACATCTAAGTCCTTGGGTTAGATCCTCAGGTTGTGTAAATCTCAATGGTGTATTGATTTTACACCAGATGAAGATCTAGCCTCTTATGTCACTTCAGCCTAGCTGTGCCTGTGCCTGGAGCTCTGCCAGTATGAATGCAGATGGCTTGCAGATCTTGGGATCTGAGGATGGCAGTGAGTTCCCAAATGGGTTTGGAGGGTGCTGGTATCTGCTTCAAAAATCTGCAATGCAGGTCTGGCACTGGAATGGTGCTCTCTGCTTTTTTAGATAGTGATTTTGAGAGGTATAGATAGATAGATATAGATAAGTATACACATACCAAGAGAGCTGGTAGATCTCTGTACTAATGTGGTTATAAGCAGGCAGCATGACAAGACTGGCTGCACTGTCACCATATGGCAAAGTCTTGCTTAATAATTCCCCGTTATCTTTTTGGGACTAGTCCTCCAAACAAGTCGTCCAGTTTTTCTATGATCATGGAGTTCCCAAGGGAAAGGAAAGTCTAAGAAGGTTTAAAACTTGCCCGGAGGTGCGAGAGCACTCAGACCCAAGCCTCATGCTTCTGGATAGCTGAGGGCACTTTTCCTTTCCCAAAGCTGAAAGAGCCTTTGTGCTAAGGGATCCCCTTGCCAGCTGTTCTCTGGCAAATCCAACAGCATGGGTTCCACCCAACTTGACTGGAGGTTACTGAAGCCCCACAGCAGTGACCTCTGCTTTGGCCCAATGATTTGGAGGGAGAAGAGAACAGCTCTAGCAGCTGTTTCTGTCCCTTTTCCTTCTCTGAGCTGACGAGAACCTGCAGTGTGCACAGCCTGTGCTTGCAGAAGGGACAAAACAGCCCCTTTCAGGGCCCTGTTAGAAATGTCAGCTCTTACCTTCTCCATGATCCTGTCAATCTGGCGGTTCTGTGTGTCGATCTCATTGCCCATGTCCAGGGCCATGTGACGTAAGTTGCCAATGATGCCGCTGACCTGCTCGAGGTTCTCATCCATTTCATTTTCCCGGGCATCATTTGTTACCCTGGGAGCAAAGAAACAATCATTTGAAGCAGAGACAGAGGAGCTTCCTCCTGAAGCTCTGATTCACCTGAAACCTCCTCTGCGTCCTCCTTCACTTGTCACCTGAGGAGCATCCTGCTGTGCTCAGCTTTGAAGAAAAGGGATTAATAAGTAGTTAGCCTAAAAACATTACATGCTTATTTTTTGGACGTTGGGATTAATTGTCTGGGTTCATCACTGCTCCATTTATATTGCTTGTGGCTGCTGCTCCTAGAAGTGTTGCTGCCGGAGCTTGCCTGTATCACACACTATACCTCTCTGCACACAGATTTTGGGATGATCCTTGTCAGACAAAGAATGAAAGTGTGCTCCATTTGGACCCGTGTGCGGTTAGAGTACATGGGAAATGCTGGAGGGTGGTGGAATTGAAGCTAGATCAGCTCCCCTCCTTGAACTACACATTGCTAATGAACACTGTCCAGTCCTTGTATACTTGGGGCCACTGAAATATTATGGAAGGGCTGCTTCAGCTTTGAAAATCCTATCCTAACATCCTATTTAATTCAACGTATTTATGATGAAGAACCAAAGCAGCTTCTCTCAGGTTTACTGGCTTTAGTAAACATCCTTTGTCTCTCGTTCTTAGCACTGTCTTTTACTGTTGCTTGTTTTTTAGGAGAAAAAGTTTGTGCTTGAGCCAAGCCCAGTTCAGCTCTCCCGTGGCTGGAGAGGCATGCAGTGACTGACACTGGGACAAGCAAAGTCCATAGATGCCACTCAAAATCATTACTTTAAGCCTCTTGTGCAATTTCTGTTCATGTAAGTGCCAAAAGTGCACTGCAGGCTGTTTGCAGGGCAACTATGGTGTAGCCTAACTTCCTTCACTGCTATTCTGTTATCATGGCCCAGCCTTCGTTTTGGTGGGGCTGCCATCCAGAAATAATAGAAAAAAGTGAATGGCAGACCCAGCAAACTTAAATGGCAACTCCATCCCACGCTCCAGATTGTGTGACAGCATTGTTTCTACCACACTGATTTCCCTTTATCACAGCAGCCAAAAAAATAAGTGGATAATAGTTTTTGGAAAGATAATTACTTATTAATCCAGTGTCCTTAATCTTCAGAGATCAAAGCTTTGCCTACTGGTATGCCTTTATCCATTCAGCTGGTAGCATTGTCATCTAAATACATGCTCTATAAGCACTGTAATCAGTATGTACTTACTGCTGCATCCCTATGGACTGCTGGAAGTTTGCAGTTTGGTTGCCATTAGTGTAGCTGTGCGTTTCTAACTGGCTTTCGAGTGCACAGGGGTTGCCACTAAAGCATCGATCTTTCTCCATGGTTATGGTTTTACAGCAGCTGAGGAATGGGGCATCGTTCCCCCATTCAGTGAGGTTTTCTGGATAGTTACAAGCAGGGAAGCAGTGTACCTCTAGTTAAAAGTGTGCTTCAAGTTCTGCACTTGGCTTGCTGCTCTGGCAGGGAGCCTGAGGCTTTTGTCTTTTTGAAAAGGAAGAAACAGGTGCTGGATGCTTTGGTACATCTTCTGGCAAGGATGGATAATGAGCAGTACGTATCTTGAGACATAATAACAATAAACTAGTATTTATCTGACACTTCATTTCGGAGGCATTTGACAACTGTCATATATGAGACCCATAATAAGCCTCATAGGAAAAGCGCATTGTTTGTGCCAGGGAGCTGGAGTGCAAAGGGCAGTGCTGACTGGCTGTGGCAGTCTGCAAACTCACATTGCTGCTGTCAAGTCAAAAAATAGATACTATTTCTGTTTCATTATTGCCCAAATCTGGGCAGTATCAAGGGGAAATGTTTAGGGCATGTTTTCAACCGTCTTCTGGTTCTGAAGGCTAAGACCATTACTTCCAGGATTTCCATCAAGGTAACCATCCTTTGCACTAGCTCAGACAAGCACCCACAGGGCCAGGGGAAGTCACTGGACACAATAAGCCTTTAGTACACGTCTTAATTGCTGTCAACCTAAATCTGAGCACCCACCACTCCATGGCAAGCACTGGCTCCACCGCAGTACCCAGCACTGCTGTGAAGGAGTTAATGAGCACCACAGAACTCATGACCATATGGAAGAAATCTAAATATATCAGTGACTAGGAGAAGAGAGAGAAAACAGTGGATAAAAAGGCTCACCTGCGGATAAAGCCACCGCTGATGGCCATCTGCTCCCGTTCATCTACGACACGTGCAGGCTGGCTGGCTACAACACCATCCTGGTTATTGCCCCAGGCTTTTTTGTAAGCATCACTTGATTTAAGCCTATGCGAAAAAGACGATGAGTAACAAAGCATCAAGTGAACAAGGACAAACGCAAAACTCTTTACTTCTCCAAGCTAAAAGCTGAATCAAGCAAATGAGTTTTCAGATAGAGGGTCACTGATTGTATACCGATATATCATAATCCTGAATAAAAGGAGGGGTTTGGTTTTTGTTTCTTTTTACTGCCACAACAACTGTGTTGGTCAGAGGTTTTTGTTTCCAATAGGGTGAATTGCAATTGCCAAGTCTACAACACCGCACACAGGTTTTTGGATGTTGACTTAGTTTCCAGAAAGAAGGAAGAAAAAAAAGAAGGAAAAAAAAAAAAAGGAGGAAAAAGAAAAGAAATACAGATAAGTAGAAAACATTGTTTCATTTCAGTGACACATATGTTTTGACATCAAACACAGAGAACGTACTGGCAGACACACATAAAAACAGAACTGCCAAGTATAGTGTGTACATCACATCACAGCAACACACCCTCTTAGATAGAAATGGATTTGGCTAGATTTTAACATTTTACCATGCAGAAGATTGGGCTTCTGTTGATACTGTTTGACATGTATGTGGCATAATAGGCATTTAAAGCCACTAACCTTTCCCAAGGCAATTTGGGGATGGTTTTATCATAAAATTCATAGGGTTAGTTAGATTTTTCAAATAATATATCGGTACTTGAAAATAGTAATCATACATCGACAGTTGATGTACAAACCTTTGTCCACAGAGACAAAAAGTAAAATAGGCAGAAGTGAAATGAGTGCAGGAGAAAATAAAAGATACGAGCAATCTAGCATCAGAAAGGGAAATCTTTCTACAGTTTTCTTCATGCACCAGCTACAGGCATGAATAAGAAGTGAAGCATTCTCACTAAGCACGGTTGCCCCAATAGTTCATCATACTCTTAATGCATCAGCAGTAACAGCCTTCACAATAAGCAAGACACAGGCAAAAATGGATCATCACTTCCTTCAGGAGCTTTAAACCATAGGACTTTAAAATAGCCTAGCAACTTGTTATATTTGGTTTTACGACAGTTACTTTAGCTTTCAGAGCCATTTTTGACTGAGCTGCCGTGGACAGAAAATTAAAATCCAGGCATACCTTTAGTGGCAGAGTAGCATGTGCAGCACATGTAGGGTTCCTGTCACTGGGGTCATCAGATGAGATTGAACACTTTGACGGGAGAGTGTGAGGTTTTGGGGTCTGTAGGTGTAAGTTCTTGATTTTATCATGGGAATTAAGCAGATCCCAGCAAAGCTGTTGGGAACTGCAAATCCCCGTGATTTCCCTGTTGTTCAACTGGCTCCCATCATTCATATAAACAACCCTGTAGCTTGGATTCTGGGGGAGAAACTGAACGTCTTCTGGAGAATTTGGGAAAGGACACAACAAACCCATCTCTGGTGTTACATTCTCTCCACGCCCCCTGAAGCAGCTCAGCTTTCGCTGAGCATGAAGATGCATTGCATGCTCCAACATAGAATTAAAATGTAGATGAAAAGAGGATCTTTCCTATTTAGCCATTTTGTTGCTTATTTCCTACTAGAATTTGTGAAGACTTAAAAAGATGATGTTTGGCTTGTTTTTCCTAACTCTCTAATTTGGGTTTTCTAAAAATGAATGAAAGTAACTCTCTGGCTGCACATACATTTACAGGTTTTTGCCTGTTCTGTAGACCTGTGCAACTTGGAGAGTGAGACAGTCTGTGTGTTTGAGGTGAATGATTTTGTACACCCAGAACATGATCTCTATTTTCTTGTGGATTTCCTGTCAAACAGGTAGTCTGAGTCTGCTCGTGGTCCGTAACAGTTGCCCTTTTCAATGCAGTCTGGTCATAGTTTCGTGTCATGAGCATTTTGGGTCTCCTAAGAATGTAGGATCAAGCCTTCAAGGCTCATGGAGTGGTGTCTCAGTATAGTTATGTGTGAAATGCTTAGTAGTTTTAAAATATATGCCATTAATTCTGGCCACCAGCCAGAAGAGCATTAAGGGGATCATGGTGGTACTGATGAGCAGAACTGTAAGATTTCTCTCCCTCCTACACTCCACTTCCCAGAATACCATCTTATTTGTACCAGTCGAGTCCTGGCAAAGAGATTCAAAGAACAGTCTTTAGAAGTATTGTTCATCCATATTTTTGTTTCTGAACACATTAACTGGCAATGCTAGTTTATGAAATCTAGCTGCAGACTGCAAAGGTCAGAACACTGCCTTAAAGCAGGGAGGATACAGCTTTAAAAATGAACATCCTCCACATGCAGTATCCTTCTGTTCTTGCATCTCTTGATTTCTTGATACTGCAGTCATAGTGAAGTGGTAAATGTTTTAAGGCCATGTGTCTGTCAGGTGCTAACCTCATCCATGGCACAGTCGCTTGGCACGTTCTTAGCAGCCTTTTCTGCATTATAGAATATTAAAGCCACTCTAAAAAAATTATGATTCCTGCAAAATACATTGGAATTTTTTTGTACTCCAAGTGTGAACTTTTGGTGTAGGCGTTGTGCCAGGTTTCTCCAGGAGGAGCAATCTAGGACAGTGTTCCCCTTCAAGTTGCAACAGCTTTTACAGGGTGGGAGATGTAAAGTTTCTGCTGTATACTCTTGTACTTGCAGCTCTTCTGCGCTGAGTCTTCTGGTGCAAAACAGCAGGGCTAAAGCCTAGATCTGAGCTGATACCAATTGCATGTAGTCCCACTGACAAAGGCTCTGTGTGTGTAGCTCTTTCCATTCCTCCTTGCCTGTCTCCTATTGTGCACACCAAGGTGGCACCCGTACATGTATTCTGGGCAAGATGTTTACCCCAGCAAATATCTGTGGCTTGGTACACAGGAGCAAAATTGATTTGCTTTAAGCTGAGGCAGTATCTGCATTGTGTCCCAAGGGAATTAACATCAAAATAAAGGATGACTGATAAGGCAGGAACTCAGTCCTACCCTTCTGATTGCTGGTACAACACCCACCAAACTCCATGACAGGTTTTTTCCCTTTGGTCTTGGTAATCACGGTAGGATTAGGCCCTGGCTGTGAACAAAATACCTGTGCCACATAGAGAGGGAGTATAATACTACACAACCCCTGCACTCTGCTTCGTTTCCTGTGCAGTCTCTGGACATCCCTTTATGATTGTTTTCACTGTAACCTGGTTGCGTGCCTACTCACTGCATGCTGGATTGGCCATTCCTCAAGGACTTCTTATCTCCAGTTTCCTACACCCACATAACCACACATCACATTTTCATTTGGCATTGAAAACAAGCTTTGCATTACTTGGAGGACGGTTTCGTTCAAGTGTGATGGCATGCAAGCAAATTTGATGCATTTCAACATTTCTGCTCAGTGTACGTGCTACCCAAACAGGAGAAATTTGGCATGTTCAGGTTTTCTCAAATTTGTTACCTATGGCAGGATGAAAACCATTTCAAATTGGGTTCCAATTGGGAAACATTATGTTTATTTCAAGATCTCATCGGGGACTGTTTCTGTTGAACAATGAAAGGTGTGATTTTCATCCATCATTTTAAGTGATATTTATTATGGCCTCTTCTACATTTTTTCAGCTGTTTTATTTCATTTATTAACCTTGTTTCTCAAAATATGTTTCAAAATTTAGGGTCTCCAGGAATAAGGTAGCCCCAGTGGTTTTGTTCACTGGAAAATGGAACCAGCCAGTACACTCTGTGTAAAATGTTGAAACTTTTACCATTAAAATGTGTCAACAGTGAAGCTTTCACTGCAGTATGCCTGATTTTAATGCATCTACAGTAATTCCCAGTCAGTTGTCTGTGCTATGAGATGAATGCATTTGAATCAGAATCGTTCTTTCTGCATGCCACATGCTCATCCTGTCCATGTGCCTAGCAAGGATGAGCTTCACAAGGCCTTTTGGATCAGCCTTAAGTGCTCAAAGAGATGAGGCAGGCAGCACCTACTTGTTACATGGACAGACACAAAGACCACAGAATTTTCCTAGGTCCGTCAAATTCTTTTCTGCTTCTTTCATGTCCTTATTGATTTGGTCCATTCCCTCTTCGATGCGTTCCAGTTGTTCTGATTAAACACAAGTATTTTATCCCCACAGAATGAAGCAGATGGAAAAGGACAAAGAAAAAAAAGACAAAAAACTTCAGACATTCACTGTGACAAAAAACTGGACACCACATAGCAGAGCCGGTACCCAGTACCTACTTGTTACAAGGACATATGAAAAGGCCACAGCATTTCCCTAAATCTTTTAAATTTTTCTCGGCCTCCTTCATGTCTTGGTTGATATGGTTCATGCCTTCTTCAACACGATCGAGTTGTTCTGGTCAGGACAAAGGGATGACAGTGTGGAATGAATAGTATTTTTGTTTGCTTGCTTTTGTCTTCAACAGAACATGAAAAATGACCATGTAGAACTGAATTAATAATGACATTACAATGCATTAATCTGATCTGATGCATTGTTGATAGGATGGATGCTGCACTGGATGCTGAAGATGGGTTTTATTAATATGGGAAGAGTTAAACAAAGGAGGAATTTGAAATATATTCATTTAAACAAGATGTAATGATGTAGAAAGGAAGGGTTATAAAGTTCAAGGTCCAGAAACACAGTACAATACATTCACTTACTAAGACACCAATGACATCCAAGAGAAAGAAAAATAGTGTTATTACTTCGCATTAATGTATGTTAATACAAGAGAAAAGGTGTCCTTCCATGGAAAATACTTCAGTTACTTACGCTTACAAATGCCTTGGAATTAGGTGATTTTGGGCATCATAATTAATTTGGTTAGTGAGTGAGAGAGCTGGTAATAACAGTACCAGAGATGGAGCGAGCTGTTAAGAGCTGTACCCAAGTACTCCTTTTCCAGAGGCTGAGCAAACTGAGACCTGCCACTTTGACTGGCATTGGATATTAATCTCCAATCTGAGTATGGCCTCAGGGCTGGTTTTCTTTCTGATATGGATGCAGCATGTCAGGAGTAACCTCAGTGAACACAGAGCAATTGCAACCACTCCAGGAGCCTGATGCTCACTGAAAGACAACCACTGGCCTTGACGTTGGTTGTCTCTGTGCCCAAGGGGTCTTATGGAAACAAGCATTGGGTGAAGACTCATGTTTTCAGTGGTGTCACTTCTGCTTTGCTCCAGGACAAGTTACAAAGCACCAATCCCAGTAACCAGTCATATATAGACACTGTCTCTCTGCTGGCATCAAACAGAATGTGGCTTATTTCCACCTAAGGCTAATGAAGATGCAGAGTTTTCTTAGTGACTTGGTAGCTCAGAATAATTTATTGTCTTAATTTCTTCAGTATTAAAGCTTGGAAAAATGCCCTAGAGGAACGGAATGCCACAATGTAAAACTGTAGGAATGGATCCTCTGCTGATGTAAACAGGTATGGATCCAATGGGATCAGGGGTCTTATTCAATAGTGGCAACATTTTAGATGGGTGGAAAGTCACACCATTTGTTTCATGAAAGATAAACCCAAAAAAATATTACCCAGGATGAGAAAATTACTTAGAGTGGCATTTCAATCCATTAAAAATTGTAATTGTACCTGAAAAGACAAAGTAAAACAATCCCAGTAAACCACAAATCCATTCCTATTCTCTCTATTGAATAGAAAAAAATGTGAACACAGAATTAGACTTGAGAGAAAAGGAAAGGAACTGAGAGTGAACTGGTTGTAGGAGAAATTTAATGTCATCCCTGATAATAACTGAGTCCTATCCAGAAGGAAAAAAAAAGGCATTATAGAAAAAAAATCATGTGCATATTGACGTCAGTACAAAGCTCCTCTTGACTTCTTTGGGAACATAACTAGGCCTAATTTCTTACTTGAGTTTCTAATAACAATTGAGGTTTACATTTTCAAAGCTTTCTGGGGGATTTGGATACCCAATTCCTATTAAAATTAATTTTATTTAATTAATTTTAATGGCAAACAGGCACCTCACGCCCAGAGGGCCTTGAAAATCCTGGCCTAAATTATTCAAGCTGAAATAATTCGAATATTGAACTTGTGCTCTTTGTTTAATTCTTGCATGAGGCTGGGCTTTGAGAAGGAGAGAGGCCATATCACTATGGCAAACTCCATCTCCTTTTCAGCTCTAAGTTCTCATTGTCCTCAGCTCGATGTGCCCATCTCCTGATAGCACAGGAGTTAATGATCCCAAATCCAAGGATATATATTTAAGGGATCAGTTACCTGGCACTGTCCTCTAAACCAGGCAAATATAATTTGAGTAAAGGATTGGGAAACTAATAAGGGAACCTGAGAGATATACTGCACAAATTCTGCCAGATAAAGTGCTGAGCCAAGAACCAGGAAGACAAGGTTGGATTATTCTAATGCACGCTGTAGTTTTACATTTTGGTTGGGAAGTTTTAGCAGAAGCTTTGGCTCGTGTTTGTCGCCACAGATTGTCAATCTCATCAGAAACGTGAGTAGGGGGTAGAAGGTGATACTCCTCTAAGTGCTCCTGCTCCTCAGTAACTCAGAGTCCTGCATAGTTGGGCAACACTTGCTCTGGGAAGCAGCTGTGGGAGCGTCAGCTGGATTTTGTGCTGGTTCATGCAGCATGGTGGGAATTGCTAAATTTCTATCGCAGATTCCCACCTCCTGCTTGAGAGCTGTGTTTGCAGAGCCTGGCTGTTTTCAGGGTTCTCAGTTAAAAGAAGGCTATTTCCAACTGTGTTTTGACACTGGGGGGGTCAAGAGGTGCTGACTTTTCCTCCACTCATTTTGCTGTTAGTATTTCCCTAACCTTGGCTGGCCAGTAGAAAACACCAGGTAAGACTGTGCGGATCAGTCCTAGATCTGGCAGCACCCACGGCTTTCAGTCTAAGCATGTTTCCTTGCTCAGATGCACATTCTCTGAAGCCACGTATCTGGCAGGGGCCTTTTGAACTCTCTTTACATTTCCTATTCTGCCTGAATAAGTCCTAATTGAAGAGTATATTTGACATGACTCAAAGACTTCCATTTAAATTATAGCTCTCTCCAGGAACCTGACTTAATTCATCCTGCTTCAGGATTTGCGTGTGATGCTTATGCTATTTCTGAATAGAAAAGGGGATCCACAACTAATTTATCTTCCATTAAAGGAAACCTCATCAGTGTAAAAAGCCCATGTCATATCTGTAGCCCAGAAGTCTAGACAGCTGGCTGCTGGTCCTAAACCCATTTGCTAGTTGTTAGTGTCGTGGGCTGGATTGTTAACCAGTTTAAATCAGTGTAGTTATGGTGGCTTCATGGAGCAACACTAGTTTGTACCTGACAAAGATCTGGTCCCACAGGCAAGGAAACAGGTTCATTACTCTAACCACAATTATTGAGGCATAAATATTATAGCGGAATTAACTTAATGGAGTCACTATGGATTTGGTTTGGTATAACTGATATTAAAATCTGTCCAGAATGAATCAGATGGCAACAAAAAGGTTAATTTAATGTCTGTTTTCAGAAATATTCCCCATTCCAACTTTGTGTATTGTATTAAAGGTTTTAGGGAAGGCAGTCTGCTGGCATATACTGTCCTGAATCTATCCAAATTCACACTTACAAAAAATCATGTCCTTTACCTCCCTTTTAAAGAAGCACTTCAAGGTCAGAGTTTAAACATCTTTTGATAGCTTGTTTCAGTATTCTTTGAATATACTACATCTAGATATATGTCTATATATCACATGATATGGAAGAGAATTGATGTTGTCTGGAAGCAGAATACACATCAGAAGTATGTTTCACTGGGATTTCCTTTCCTTTTTTTTTCCTATAAGCTCTGTTATTTATTAGCCCTTTCTGTGTACCGATACCCTTTTATGTCTGAGAATGTTACTTTAATTCAAACATAGTTGTTATATCTTCTTCCAGACCTTGCAGTAAACTAGTGGCATATCTTAGTATACAAAAAAGAACATGCTTTACCTGTATCATTATACTTCTGAATCACTTCTGTATTAAAACCATAAGCAACTGAGGGAGCTAGTCCTGGTAGTTTTACTGTAGCATTGTGGCCCTTTGCCAGTGGGTCTTTGCCAGGATCATCTGTAACAGCCTGGCAAATCCCTACTCTGTGACTGATCAGGGAAGTGGCTGGGAGAGGGAAGCTGTAGCAAGGGCATCCCTCAGCTGCCTCTGTGGCCTCTTGAGCAAACACAGCTGCAAAAGCATCTTACACAGCATTGGAAGCAGGGCCAGGACAGGGCAAGTGTGATGTTGCTCCACCTTTGCATCCCCATCTGTAATTTATAACAAATGTTCCTTGAATAGTGTCCAGGATCTGGGGCTTGTGTTTGAATGTCAGTTAAATGCCTATGGTGAAGGGAACTTGCTCCTTTGCCTGGAGTATTGTGCAACGAAGCAGTTTCCACCAATGACAATTTTAATTAGAGAAGAAAAAAAAATAAAAGGACATCCAAGAACATGTTGTAATCATAATTGCATACAAGAGGGCTGAATGTGAAACAGATTAAGCAGATTAACTCTTTCCGATGGTACTCGGTGATCCCATTTTCCATAAAGGAGAATCATATCAGAGCACAGTGCGTTTCTAGGACAGCCTTTACAGAAATCCTGAGTCTTGACCTAGCTCCACTATGAAAGGCATTGCTGAGCACAGGTACAAATGGAAGAAAGCTGGCAGGGAATGCTTGTGAGCCCACGTGTAGCTGCACTAAAAATAACAGTAGATGAGGCACAACTGGCTTTTGTGGAGGGTACGTTTGTCTTTTGTTCTGCACTACAACTGCAACAGAATTAATACCATTTTCCCTGTAGAATCTGAAATAGTTGATAGTTACCTTTTTTTGTCACTAATTAGCAAACCATTTCTGTCTGTGATCAACTTAGCTCATAGGTGTTGATGGAGCGCCTCTAGCAACTCTGCTTTTGGCATCTCACTTTTCATAATGGCTGTTGAATAGGAGGTAAACTGGGGAAGGGACCTGCGAAAGGGGCCATAATTTTGCTCTCTGGTGGAAAGGAATTGTAATTATCTTTGTATTTACTGCGGTTGTTTCCCCAGCGCTGTAGAAACAGCCCAGCCGTAACTCCTACAAACCTATAAAACTAGGAATTCCAGCAAGAACAGCGGAGGTCAGCCAGCACGGGCACCATCAGCGGTGCCAACACTTGCTTGAGGGATTGCCCAGTTACTCCAAAGTTTCATCTCTATACTTCCACTTTATCTGGAGTACAGATCTGTTGGGTAGGTTAAGCTGCTCCCCGTGTTCACTGGCATTGCTACTTGTGCATTTGCTGTTGCTGTGGTGCAGGGAGGAAATTTCAATTGCATTGGCGTTTTCTTTGTGGCTTATCAAAGCTATGGCTATTTCTCTATCTTGTCTTGCATGAAAAATGGCTGTGCTACTGCTGCTGTTATTGGAAAAGCTTCTCCCCTCCATCCTGTTTGGAATACAAGAACAAAATTCTTTTGTAATAAACTGAATGAGGACATTGTACCCTTGAAGGTCCAAATCTCTTTGCTTGCTGATACTCTCAGGTGATGGGATTTTCCTTTGGAGGAAGATAGCTACCACTCTGGGATTTCTCCTGTGTCAGCAATTCAGGTTTATCTTCATATCCTCACTTTGTACTACCGGTTTCATTTCTACAGTCTGCTTTTACCAAAATGCATCCAAATATGAACATTTTTCTAAGTTAGCATGTTTCAAAAACATGTTTAATGAAGTAGAGCAACTGCTACTGCTCAATAACCCTTCACTGCATGACACTTTCAGTGTAAAATGTAAATATTTTAGTTTAAAGTGTTATGGACATATTTATATTTAAATAATTGATTAAAGGAGCTTGAATCAAGGCCAGGTTTACAAAAATATCAGCGTTATGGATGCACATAGGGCCTGGGAAAGACTTCCTCACTGATGGAGAAAATCTCAACAAGGAGACTCTAATCTCTTGGCTCCTTCTTTTTGGCTCCCCAGGGGAAGTACTGTGTTGAACTGGTTTGGGTGACAATACCTGTCTCAAAAAATGGTTATTCTTGGTATTGCAGAGGGACTATTCCAACAGCCTACTCAGATTCCCAATGACATCAAAGGGCATTGGGGGTGGTTTCTAGTTTTCATGGCAGTCTCATTCTCTGTGAAACAGGAGTACTGAAAGCTCTTGTGAAGCTCCACATCTCTGCAGGGTCACAACAGACCAGTCACAACTTCCAGATGTGTTAAATGTTTAGGCAACAGGAGCAAGCCAGGCTGGCTTTATTGCATAAATACCTACTATGGTAAAATTATTTTTATGATCGCAAAGTCTTCTGCTTATTGATGACAGAAAATGAATTCTGCTTTATGTTACTTAGATTGAGATCGGCTCGAAGTACTTTTCCTTGTTAAGTCTGTTTAACTTCAAAGCAAGCAATTTTAGAAGGAAACCTAGAAACAGAGCTTCAAGCAATGGCAGAGATCAGATATTCTGCTTGCCGCCCACTGCAAAGATCAATGTCATGTTTTTTTGTATATTTAACACCTAATAATCTTAAGTGACTTGTGCAGTCAGCTGAAAAGAGATCACATGGCAGTGTTAGCAAATTATTTCCTTAATCTGATAATCTGCTGAGACATCCACGGGTTGCACACACTGTACTAATTACAGAGGGCTCAAAGTCATCATTAGCGTGTTTTGACCAATAATGTAAGTCTTTTATCACTAAAATTAAACATAAATCAGGAATTATTACAGCTACATACGGCTAAAATGGACTAAACTTATTAAACATTTAGCATAGAACAGCAGTTACAATATACCCAGGGTTTGTAGCATTGTTAGGCTGTTTTCCATGAGAAACCCATAGTGTATAGTCACAAGCTAAATTTACTGAACCACTTAAGGCATGACCATAACCAATTTAAAGAGGCTTTTAAGTTGTCTGATTCCTTCCTGTAAGTATTGACTAACTGCTTCTCTGGCCATACAATATACATTTCAGGTTTCACTGTCAATATGAGTTTAACACTGAGTTCCCTGGACTCCAAAGAGGCCAGTGGGTCCAGTCTCAGCTCCTTGGCTCACACACACCATCCTTTCTAGCAGAGACAACTTCTGCAAACAGGGGTTTAGCAACAGTAGAGCTCCAAAGTAGAAAACAAAATTCAGGGTTATAATCAAAATAAACCTGCCTAGCAATCTGTGGAAAAAACAGCAGTTAAAGAACAGAAACATACTTTCCCAAGACTGAACACAAAGGGAGTTATAGGAACAACAAAAGTTTCTGCTGATCTGCGTGTGGATTACATTTCAAGATGCTCCTGGGTATTTACAGACTTTCTTTGACAATATTCATGATTTATTTCAATTGTATAATTCACTTCTGAAACAAAACACATTATTTAGACAGGTGCCATATCTGTTTCAACACAAGCAATTTCTGGTTTCCTGCATTCAGCGACAGTTCTTTTACTGCCATTATTCAGAAATTCTTTTGAAGACAACAAAATAGGCTTTGTAATATTTTTCTTGTCAAGACGAATTGGTGTGACAAAATTTGGTTGGGTTAAATTCCTTTCCCTAAAGGGGGAGAAGGAGGGGCAATGAGAAGTACATAAAAAAGGAAATAGGAGAAAACACTTTCTGGTTAGGTCCTGTTATTACTTTTCATTCATTTTGGTGCCAGAGAAGCAGGGACATTACAGATGCAAAGGGCCTGTCAGGTCCTGCAGTCCATTTCCCAGCAGTGCTTATAATCATTGCTTATAATCATTGGTCTTGATGAGTGGTACAGCATGACCTCTGTAGAAAACATTTCCTAATACAGTTTTGTATCATGCCACATAGATAATAATAATAAGGTCTAAGGGGGAGAGGAGGGGTGTCCTGGTTTGGGGTAGGGTAGCAGAAATTCATACTCTGGTGATTTAACTTCTCTTTGAGATGCTGTTTTGCTGGAGCTGTGAGTCTGCAGCAAATGAAGACTTCGTTTGGTTGGGGGAGGGAGCTACCTGCTTCTTTGTAGTATTATGAAGGGCAAAAATGTAATTTCCTGGAATGTATTGAATGTATCTGGCTCTGGCTTTGTCACTGTCATCCACAGACAGGGACTCATCTAAGCTTGAAAGCTCCTTTATGGTCAATTGTAATGAGCTGATCGTGTTATAGCCTTTAATGTGAAATTCCTGTTATCCTCACTGACATTTCTATACAAAAAGCAACTGAAATTCACACAAACTAAGCTGTTTTACCTTCTCTCAGGATGCATTTATTGCACAGCTTTCACTTGCGGCTAAAACAAGTGAGAGAATTACAGAGCACCTGCGTAAATAATGTTGGATTTTACACTTATTGAGGCAAATCTTCTCATCTTGTAGCTGTATCTTGACCCAAAGCTTGCTGAAAATAAATGATGATTTGGATGAGTTCAGCCTGCAGCTCTCTTTGACATTAATGGGAAGCAGATCAAAAGAAGTACAGACTCTTATGCAGTTATTGTACGTTCCTCTGTCAGACAACGAAGCTAAAGGCAAAGAGGTTTCGGGGTTCTCATGCACAACCACACGTATTTCATGGCCCTCATTTTCAGGATTGCACACAGTTAGTACAGTACTTTGAGAATGGTTATACTTCCTTACTGAAGCAATCTGAACTTACCTCCTTGCTCATCCAACATAACCAAAGTCCTGATACCAGCATCTTTACTCTACATCCCAATAGTGGTAGCAAGGTAAGGAGAGAGAAGGGGAGAAGAGAGAGAGAGAGAAAGAGAGATCAGTGAGGGAACTCAGCCCTAGGTACGGGACATAGGAAGACAAAAGAAAAACAGTGAAAGGAATGACAAGGTCATAAGGGGCTGGCGACACAGTCCAAAGACCTTATGTGCCTGGGCACTCTGTAAGGAACCGCATACTCTCAATTGTATCATCAATCCTTCAGGATTCACTGGGATACTGAACTACTGCAGTCCTGAAGCTTGAGATTAAAATCATCACTTTACATGAGAGTAATTTCTGAAAAGAGAGGGTTCATCTCCAAGTTCTCTGAAGCAGGAGAAGGGAAGAAGGGTGCATTGACATTGTGCGTGTGTGTTCATCCCAAAGGAGAAATTTCCAAGGTAAATAGATGTGACAAAAACATGTTTGAGAAAGAGGCATAGTGCTCTGTACATGGCCCTTGCACACAGAAGTCAGAAAGCTCACCTACCTAGGAAATCCTTTTTAAAGCAGGCTAATATTTAATACGATTAAGCCATAATTTTTGGCTTGGAGATCTAATAGATATGGGTTTAAGACAAGCTTTAATTCATCCAACAGACACCTTTAGCATCAATTGACTTTGGACTGAGCTTGAGGGTCGGGTTTCTAAAACACCTACATGCTGAATCTGTCCTTGCTCCCTCAGGTTAGTGGGAGTCTTATCATTGCCTTTGATGGATATGGGGTTTGAGCAGAGCCAAGGAGTTCAGAGCTCCCACCTGCTGAAGCCAGCAGCAGGGCACCTTTCACAAGTACAATTTCTGCATGCGTTATCATCGCTCCGGGTTGTGATCAGGAGTCTCGGGTTTCTGGGTGCTGTGATACGAAGCTATATTACAGATCAGATTAGCTCCTTTTTAATTACAAAGGGAAAACTAGCTCCATTCTGCTTGGAGCAGTGATAACATCTGTGAATAATTAATGGCCTGGACGATCTCCTGGCTGTTGCATGTCAATAGCAGATGAAGTAAGTCCTCTGCAGCCTGACAGCTTGCCAGCGGAGTCACCTGGACATGTGCAGCAGTAATTTTGCTGCTTCCATGAACATAAAGCCATCCACAGCCCTGTGAAGCAGATAAAGTTGGTGGTGCTGATTTTGTAGAGGGCAGGGGAGATACCCACAGCTGCACAGGAAAATGAGGAACAGAAACCTCGAGTCCTGACTGTCTCTCTTGCTTTTCAGACCATTCTCCCCTTCCTTGAGGCAAATTAAGGACTTCATATCATCCTTCTGCCCTGCTCACTGCCCTGGCTCATCTCTTTTTCTGGGAGCAGTGAAGTCCCTCTTGCCGGCACCACGCAGCCCACATTGGCTCAGACACAAACTGGACTCTGCCACGCTTGAGGGCTGGCTGGCTGGTGCAGCTGCTGCTTCTCTGCATTGTTCCAAAAGGATCCTGCTCAGTTCAAGAGATGCCTCTTGTGGCACTGCCTCTCTCTGCACTCCCGTTCTTGTCTTTCATGTCTACATCACTGTAGAAACTGGGAAAAACATCAGATGTAGCCTGGTTTTGCTCCTTCTTTTTAAACCCCCACCCTGGGTGAGTTGCCAGGTGGAGAGAAAAAGCCTCCTGCCTCTCATCATGCTCTGCCGTGCCTGCTGCTCTTGGGTCAGCTGTCTACCAGATACCCACTGCAGCTCTTTCTTCCTTCAAGCACGTACAGCTTGAATCCCAGCCAGCTTTTATTTTTCTCTAGAAACATAGGGTCCAAGGTTTGTCTTAAATTTATCTATTTCAAGTAAGGAAATTGCCTTTAATTATCTTACTTTTTCTGTGTCTTGGTCTGCTAAGCACTGGATGTGCAATAGCTTTTTATTGTGCTCTTTTCATGCTCTTGGTACCCAGGGATGTCTAACCCCAAAAGATTCATATGCATTTTAAAAACACTACAAGGCTGGTTTGGTCCTGAGTCATCTTGTGTTTGAGTGAATACAGTGCAGTCTGACATGGGATCCTTCTAAATATTGGACTCAGAAACCTGCAATTGATGATGTGATAGTTGTTGGCTTTCAGTGAGTCAAATATAGTCAGGCTGAGAAACATTTACTGCTCCTTAACCCTCTGACCTTATTTTCCTGCTGGTTTCAACATCTGAGCAAACTGCGTTTATGCAGCTAAGATGTACAGTGACCTGAATAAAACCTGTGCTGAGACAAACTCAGCAATTGGACCTTATGGTTTGTATTTCATATTAAATCCTTGCACTGAGTGGAAGAAGTGCAATTTTCTTTTACTTACCTGACTATCAGTGCCATTTAATATTGACAGGCAATAGTGTATCTCTTAAGAGTAGCCTGCCACAGCATTAACACTAATGTGAAAATACTAAAGGGTGTGCATTGAATATACTTCTCTGCATCTGAGGTCTAATCCAAAGCATATTGAAGCTAATAAGAAGGTGCCAACTGACAAAGATGAGAAGTGATTCAGACATCAAGTGACAATCTCCTCCTGTTTGAAGTTTCTACTAAGCATTAATTTTCAGCTTGTTCACAAAAAAAAAACCTGTGTAAAGCCAATTAAAAAAAATAAAAATCACATTTGTGCATTGAAACAGATTCAGACTTTCCTGAAAGTTCAGCACTTCCATTGTGACTGATCTTTAAGATAGCTCAAAACCAAACATGTCTATGAGATGAAACTGTTCTAAAAATGTGCTCGTCATCCAGACATCTGAACAGGAGAGAAACACTCAGTAACTGGCCCTCAACAGTGACAACAGACTGAGGCATCTCTGGAAACTACAAAACCTCTTAATTCAAAGGAATATAGAGGATTAAATGTGCCAAAGAAGTGCGTTTGGGGCCCAAACACAGAGAATGTTGGCGTTTTCTGCACTGAAAGTATGGCAGAAACTGCCCTTGGTCTCAGTGGGAGCAGCTGTCAGCAGTCACTCACAATGAGGAGGTGAAGAAAGATGTGTTTTCAAAGTTCCAACCCAGAAAACATGTTTTGCAATGACTCATCATAAAACCTTGAATTACAAGCTCCCAGAAGAGCCGCAGCAGGGCAATGTCCTGGTGACCATGCTTCGATCTGTCTGTTCCCGAGGGCTCGGGAAGGGTTCCCACCCACATCCAGTGCTCACCAACATCAGTGGAGAAGTCCCTCTTGTTATGAAAATGTGTGCTAAATGTACACTTTCCTCAGGATTAAAGTCTTTTCTTCTTCCTGTGCGATGGAGGAATTTCTTAAGACCTTGCACAGGCAATCCTCTGTTTAGTTTGTGGCAAAATAAGGATCCTCAAAAACTGGGGTGTTTAAAAAATGGGTAGGTCAGGCCAGAGAGAAGAAAAATGCATCTTTTATATGACCCTACAGAGCCTATGGAGCACGTGCCATTTTAGTCCAGCTCTTAAACCTGTAACTGCCTTCTCTCTCCAGAGTTACTTCTGATTCTCCTTGTCCTCTTGTTGCGCTTGAGAAGGGAATTTGGACTGCTGGATTTTGCCGTGGTGCAGCAAACATCTCACATCCTTGTCCTTCAGAAGAAAATGGCACAGCATGAATTGCTTTTGTTGAGACATTAAAGTGGCAGCTCTGCAGTTCCTCTGTTTATCCATAGAGCAGGTATACCGCAGATGGTAAAATGTATAATCTTTCCCAGCTCTCAAACATACTCAGCCCTGACTCTAGGAATGAGCAGGTCAACGAGCATGTCCTCCCAGGCTGATTTCCATGGAGACTGCTGCAAGTTGCCAACCATTTGTCTGCAAAGATCTGCCCAATTTTGCAGATTGCACAAGGTGGCCCCTCAGAACAGGGCTTAAAAATTTCACATTAGGTGAGACATCACCATGAGTACAGACCCCATAAAGTTTATGGAAGTCGATGTCCTCCAGCCTTTCAGTAGTACTAAGTCCTAGTGTTTGGACAAAAGCAAACCAACAAGGAGTACTGATTTGGGTTCAACCTGCTTTCCGTATGAAGCACATGCCCAAGTTCTCCACTGGACCTACTGATCAGAAAGCTAGAATACATGATTGTAAAATTCTGGGCTTAATTCAGCTCTTAGATACCTAACATACATGTTAGTACTTCAGTGAAGCAGTTTAACAACCTAACTGGGAACTCTTTAGGAGGCTTAACTATACATTAGCCTCAATCTAACAGCTTTTTATAACTTTTTTGTATGAGGGTCTCACTCAGAGCAAGTCAGCAACAAAACATTCACTGAAATCTGCCCAGCACTTTGGAGGATGCAAAAATGCAACACAATGCATTACTGTATCATTTCTTATTTTTGCTGGTTTGTCACCTAATTTCCCAAGGTGGGAATAAAACTAGGAAGAGAATTGGGATGAATTCTCCAAAGGCCAATTGGTCCCTCCAGGAACATAGTGTGTTGTGTCTTATCCATGCCTGCTACAAAAGGCAACTTCCAACTTTGGTTTAGTCTGAGGGGTGATTTTCGTAACAGTGTAAGGGAATGATGTATCAGATAGAAAATCCAAATTCCATAAATGGCTTTATCTGCATTTCAGGAGATACCCTGAAAAACAGTCATCCTGTTACTGCTTCAATGTCTTTCTGTGCCTGATTAAAGAGCCATGTTACTTCTCAGCCCGTTAGCTCACCCTGTAGTTCAGATCCTCAGCTGATATGAATCTATGACCCCACTCCTGAACCCCATGTGCCTGGTTTTCATCTAGTACAATGCCTCTGACTCCAGTGGTACCCTACTGGTTTACATAGATAAAGGGGCCTAATCCTGCATAGGAAAGACTGATACCAGAATTAGGAATCCCATCTGCCTGTGCCAGATATGTATTTCTGTGGAATTACACAGAGTAAATCAATTTTCTAAGTAGAACTGTTCCAATAGCTACTGGTGTCAAAGAGATTTTTCAAGTTAGCTTTACAAGCTTTGGACCAAACTCTAAATATATACAATATTTTCCTCTTTTATTCTTCAGGCTAAGGAACATTTGACTATGATAATGTCAGGAGAAACTCACTTCCCAATCACAAATGAGGGAAGTTAGTAAAATGGCATACTGCGTGCTCAGTGTCCTGCACAGAGAAGCATCATGAGGTTATCAAACATTTACAGCTTACCATTTCAGCTTTGCTGTGTCAGTAACCTTGACTCAAACTCCACAGCATATGAGAGAAGAAGATAGTCCTGTCTGGATTTAAATGTACAAATCAACCCTTTTGTCTGTATGTGTTGCTAAAAGTGCTTTCTTGCCAGGCTTCCCGCAGTACTGATCTTGTAGCTATTTTTTCCCTTGTTGCATCATAGCTAGAAACCATTTTATTTCCCCCATTATAATATGATTGATCCTCTTTAAAGACCATGGTGGTTTCACTGAAAGATGGTAGTGGACTCACAGCTTTTTCCCCTTGCATGTGTTATTCTGTATTTTGTAACATTGGCTCAGAGGTAAAAACTTGAACAAGGAAATAAGGAGGTCAGCTACAAACTGTGTATTTAGTGTCACTTCTTCTGCTTCAGTTCATTTTTATGTTTTGGCACAAACATTGCACAGCATCATCATCAAACACAGGTATTTATAGCACTGAGTAGCTGAGAAGCTCAAACGAGCATTGGTCAGTGTAGGTGTAGCTGTGTTGCAAGGGTACTCTGGGTACCACAGAGCAAGCTGATTTTTGTGATATGCCATCCCAGTACATAGGTGCCCTGGGGCAAATAGTGGCTACTTTGCAACAGCCACACACCATTTCTTCTTGCTTCTGCTGTTGTGGTAGGACTGAAAATAATCAGCTTCTTGCAAAGCTGGGTTCTAAAAATCAGAAGCTGTAACAGATTTGGTTTTTCTTGCTGACATTCCCTGGGAACAGCACCAGGGCTTAGTCTCCAAACTCAACCTAGTCTTCTTGAGCAAGGAGGGCATGGCCCTTTGGGGACATCAGTTTTGTCCCCCAGGCTATGAGCTACATAGCATTAAGGATGCCCTGTACCGCTACAGGGCTTCCCAGGGTGGACAACAGTCTTCTGATTCTAGAGTGGAGCCAAGTCAGTCTGTTTATTCTGTATTTGCCTAGTATCCAACAGAGCCAAGCCAACCATGATAGGACTCCATACAGATATATATAGTAATAATGCTTAAACATGGGGGCATCCTTTTCCTAGGTAAGGAATAACACATTTGCTGTATCAAGAGAATAGAGTAAAAAGCATTCTTTCAACAAGAAAGAGTACGTTCTCTCTATACTCACTAGACAGGTTCTTCTAAGCAAGGGAGTCTAATTGGATCTTTGGAGTCTATTAAATCAGAGGAGTGCAAGTTCCGTTTCAAAACCACTCACCATTTGTCTTTTCAGTATAAAGTCTCTCACTCCCTAAATGCTGCATTCTCTTAAAAGTACTTAGGAAATGGGATCAGAGTAATCAACCAGCTGTTTCAACCACACAGGAATTTTAAAGGTCTTTTGTAGTCACATTAGTGAGAATAATATTCAGCTCATTTAGAATAACTCCCTTGACTGCTCAGAGCTACTTTTAGAAACTCCTCTGTTTGGACAGGATGATATTGTAGCATCTAAATAAAAGGCAGGTCCAGAGAGATGCCAAGCTCTTCCAAGAAGTGCTAGAGTCCTACGTAAACTCATGGGTAAATTCAGCAGTCCCAGTTCTCCTCCTGCTTTGCCATTTGCCATGATTTAATACTGAAATTCCAGTGGCATTCACAATATGCTGGTTCAATATGTTAGGAAGACTCAAGCAGTGCATAGGTCACACAAATACGGCTCAGGAGAGACAGAGCTGGTATTTACTGATGGCTTGGCCCTCAGCAAATCACTTCTCTTTTCCTGCGCCTCTCTTTCTTCCCACTCATCATCTGCCTTGTCTGTTTAGATCATAGGCATTTGGGGGCAGCAGGCTCTCCTGCCTTGTGTTTGTGGAGTTACCCATATGAGACTCTCTTCCCTGTTGTTGAATTGACATTATCAGGAGCTGCATCCAGCATAGATTTGACAGAGAGTGATGGTTAGAAATGGCATGTCCAGGGAATTGAGCAGCAAAAGGGGACAGACTGCTCGTGAGACAAGAGCATGTTTCAGCTGCAAGGGGCCCCGATCTGAAGTGTTTCTGGAGGAGAAGCGATGCTGACTGTGCTCAACGACCCATCTATCTGCCTATCTGTACACGGAAATTTAATTCTCTCTCCACTGGACTCCATTGATCTCCACGCTCCTGATTGATTTCAAGGCCACGGAGCCTACGGCTGGGCTTGTGCTTGTTCCTGAACGCAGGACCTGATGTAATTTCCTTCCCGTTGTCTCTGCTGGAGACTCCTCTGGTTGTCAGGACCAGTGGGACTGTCAGTGCTGATGACCCTGATTAAAAATGTCACCAGCTCCAGAGCCAAGGCGTGCTTGGTGTCTGAAATTAATACGTCCTGTCAGGTGGGAGCAAAGTTTTCCACCACCCGATGGCTGAACACTCTGAACTAAACTGAGTTCGGGGATTTCCAACTTTTAAACCCCTTTGGCATGAAGAGGGTGAAATGAAGCCTGACTGAATTGCTTTTTCCCTTCTGAAAGTGACTCCTCCAGGCAGGTATTAGCTGTGAGGACCGAGCCCAGTGCCCCTTCCTTTGCACTGTAGAAAATTAGAGAACTTCCCTTTCTAAAGCTGTCCGTCTGGGACATTTCATGAACCTTGAAATTCCAGAGATAAGTAAAGAAGTGGCATTTAAATGCTGTGGTGACCAATGCTCTATAAATAGATATGAGTGTTTATGGAGAGGGAGGTATTTAGGGACAACAGAGCAAACAGACTGAGGGTATTTCTCACCTTCCCCACTCACGGTGTTATGGCAAGGGTGTCAGAGTGGTGCTGGCACAAGGCTCCAGGAGCTCTGCAGCAAACTCAGCCACTTGTCCCTGACTCCAGGTCACCTTCAAAGGCTGTTTCCTTGGTTTATCTCAAGTAGCCTGTCTCAATGGATACTCAGGTATGGGCAAAACAGTGTCTCAGCAGCTGGTCTGCAGTGTGGCACTTGGCAACTAGGGCACAGTATCTTGAATGACTCTCATAAGGGATAAGGATAAGGAGCAGCACATGAAGCCATGGCCATGCACTAGCAATGTGAGTTAAAAACACTTCCAGTGTTGGACTCTCCATCACTTTTGCTCACAACAGAAGTGCAAATAAAATGCATGTCCTTACCTCTTCAACAAGCTGCAGCATTCGACGGGTGCTCTCAAGGGACTGAAAGAAACAAAGGGAAAACCACTCAGATTTGGCAAGATTCACTTTCCAACACTAATGTGCAGGCTCATGCTGACACTATGTTTTTCCTATCCTCTTTGCCTTCCCTCAAAATCAGGCCATCAGCAGGGTACTGGTGATCTCTTCCTCTCCAGCTCTGTTACAGCTCACTAATGCAGCAGTTCCCACCACATCTCGAGGCAGCTGCAGTCTCTGAGGCTCCTGCTCCCCTTGCTCATGTGTTGCGGTGGTAATGCTTGGAACAGTTGGTGTTCCACTTTAAAAATGAAGTCTGTGGTTTTCAGCTAAGACTTTTCAGGGACCTAGTTGGTGACTTTTAACATTTAATAGGTTTGGCAAATTGAAAGAATCCTCAGAAAATATTAAATTGCTGCTTTTTGCTCTGAGGCCGGTCAGATTGATGCAGACTCTAATACCTAAACCAAACTCACAATCAATAAATGCCTTAATTTGGACTAAACATGACACTAAATTTTACCCTGGCTCATTTAATTTCCAATTCTGCTTTCAGTGTAAAGCTGACAGAAAACAGAATCATCTCTAGAAACCCTGTGCTGGCTCAGCTCCTGTTTCTGGATGTGTCTCTCACACCAAAGCCAACCCCAAGTTTCCTGCTCCGCTCTCACTTCATCAGCAAGCTGGTCAGCACGCCGCTGCATTTCTTCCAACTCATTGCGCATATCAGCGTCTTCTGCCATTTTAGCTGTGGGTGTGTTTGTGGAAGCTGCAGATCAAGGATTTGCACTCAGCTGCTTGTGAGCCTGGAAGACAGAAAAGGAAGAAGAACAGTGTGGTTAAGCTCCCTGACTCACTGAATTGTGCTTAAATGTCAGTCCCACAAAAGGGCTCTTATTACATGAGTGCCCTCACCCAAACTCTTCCTTTCTGGATAGCAATTCCTATGTAGTAGGGAGCACACAGGATTGTTCAAGGTGGTGCTTTATTCCTGTATTATTAATCACTCTCGAAGAACAAGGATGTGTGCTCGTCATGTTCTTTGAGGAAAATCCTTACTTCTTTCTTAACCTTTCAAATGCTATTCACATCAAAGCTGGAGACTCAGGAGGCGTTATTCGCTACCAGAAACAGTCTCGAGACACATTAATTCTTCTCTAGAATTAAAAGCCTAACATGAAGGGGGTCAAGGTCAAACCTATGCACCTTATGTCCTGTGTTTTTCAGCTGCACTTCTTGGAAGGCTGCACACTCAGCTAATACATTTGCAATGAAATTAAAGAAAATGAAACTTTGCAGGTATTTACCAGCTGATGACTTGCCCCTCATGCTATAGTTCAGACTCTGAAATAATCTTTATAGCTAGACTGGAGAAGTTGTCTACCTGGGCACATCCTTCCTTACAGGGGAAGGCACAGCAGGACCTAACTGGTGTTTTCAACTTCTCCCCAAAGTGGGTCAGATTCTGCTCTTGGTTATCGCTCTCAGTACAGAACTGAGTTCATCCTAACCAGAGATGAGGATGCAGCCCATTAATCCTCATTTGGGCAGGGTTTCTTTTTTGGTATAAAATCGAGCTAGCTCTGATTACTGAGCATGACTTGATTAAGAAAGGCGGGTCCTCCTACCATCTGCCAGGTCTTTATAACAACAACACTGGCTTATTTCTTCGCTTGATTCAAGTGTGGCACATCGCAAATTAATGCCTACTGAATGTTAGGTTTGTTCATTGCAGGAAAACCTAATCCCAGGTGCAGAGGAGGTGGAGAAGTTGGGGGGCACTGGAAATAAACAGCCATAAAGAGCATTCCATCATGCTCAATTACAGAAAGAGGACAAAAGCAGCCCATTTCAGCAAAGCTGCTCTAAGAAGCTAAAATCCCAGGGGCTATTTTCTGTCCTGTCTTTGTAATGCATGCAGCCTTTATGAAGCAAGATAAGTCAGGGCACAGCTTGGCTTTAGATTTTTAACGAATAGTAAGTCTGTTTAAATGGAGGTTATCTATCGGAGAGGAATCCGTTCCTCACTTTGACAGTGCTTGCAGTCAGGACATCAGAAGTATGGGCTGAACAGGCACAGCTGTGTGGCAGGGATACCTTCTGAATCACACCCTGTTTGCTTAGGAATATATAAGGAAAGCAGACAGCTCCTTGCATTTCCTCTGCAGCTGCAGCAACAGATTTGCTGTTTTTTCTTATCTAAGGGAGAATATATGACCTTCACGCTTTCGCATTAGCTGTGCCCTTGCTCATGGTTGCTTTTCCTCTTTGAAGCTACATCAGGAAGAAATCTATCTCAAAGAATCAGCCCTGCAGCTACTGGCACAGCATCCTACTTTCATCACTGAGCACATCGCCACATCCTTGTCAGAGGGAGACTGACATTTTATGATGGGTCATACAATGTTTAGGAACCCAAATATGTGCTGGAGAAGATGCCCATCCGGTTCTGCCAACCATTCACAGCAGTGTGAAGGACCAAGCTTAAGCAACTCATCTGCAGCCCCAGCTGATGCAAACATAGAGCTTAATTTCATGGCTAGAATTCAGACTGGTATCAGTCACTTCGGGGATGCTCACAAACAGGTTTACAAACACTGAGGTCTAGGAGGAAAAGACGAGGAATTGGTCTCCTCCTGAAGGGCATGTGAAAGTGTGGGAATATTCTCAAGGCCACCCCAACCTTCCCACCCTGATGCTGCACTTGTGCTGCCCTTTATGGCACATCACGAAGCTCTGGGAAGACACTGCTCTTAATCAGCAAATGGAACATGCTCATCTGGGATAAAAAGATGTTATTTTGGTAAAGAACTGCTTTCCAAACTCCTGTCCCACTTGGCACAGGCTGGCAGTAGCACTGGCCACTGCTTCACAAATTGTGTTTGTTCCCAGATCGAGGCAAAACTGAGCATCTAAATATTTTTGGCACAGCCTCTATGACAGAATACCAGGATTAAGTCTGTGGGCCTAGTTTTGAAATATCTACTTAAAATATTCACCTCTGCCTAGATCCTTCCATACACTTGTGCTGGCAGAATAGCAGCACTGAGCTTTAGCAAACATCAGGGCAATTTAGACACGATGCTGGGGTTGATCTAATTGGTGTATACATGTAGCTATGAGGGGCAGGAAACTGGTTCTGTGTTATGTCTGTCTGGTAGCATCTCACTAGCTGTAAAGTGGGAGGAGATACTAACAGGGAAATTGGCTCAGTCTCTAAGCATATCCAGTGTGAGCTGAATGATTACAGACCTGTATGGGAGTGAAGGTGAGATGAGTGCTTCTACTGACAATAGCAAATAATAACACTCTGTCAGTCACTGCAGATAACATGCATGGAAAATTCACTTCTCAAGTAGATTCCAGCCTGACTTTTGATCTTTTACTTGTTAATTATTGATCAGGAGCCAGTGGTGGTGTTGACTGGTGCAGAAAAGAGACAAAGTGGAGAAACTTTGTGATTTTTCTTTAGAGTTATCCTCCTTGCTTAGTTAGAACCATCAGCTGGTGTTTTAGTGATAGACACATCCTATTTTGCATCATGCTAAAAAAAGCCTGTCAGAGCTTGTAACCAGAGATGTTTTGTAGCAAGTGATTGAACTTGACAGGTTTATTGAGATTGTTTGGTATTTGTAAAGCTCTTACAATGAATTGAGAAATAACAAAAAGCATTCTTCCAGACAAGTCATTTTACATCAAGTTTTAGTCATAAACAGAAGTGCCCCACAGCAGTGCTGATCCAAATTTACTTAATAGAAAGCCATGCACAAGAATCAATAAAGATAACTGATTTGTACACAGTATGATAAACTACATATATTTTGCAGAAGGCTGGGAATGGGTTTGTTTGGTTTTATTCCCATATTTTGAAGTTTAAATGTGGAATAGGACATACTAGAGACAGGATTTTCCTTGAAGAGTCTCATTTCAGCTTAAATTCCTTTTCAGTGTCATGAATTTCCAACAACAAACCCTATTATTATTAAAATCCTGTGGAGAGCAGATTTATATTTAAAGGGAATTATACTTTGTCCCTGCCCATAGCAGGGGGTTGGAACCAGGTGATCTTTAAGGTCCTTTCCAACCAAACCATTCCATGATTCTATTTCTCTCAGTATAATTTAACAGTTTTTCCTTTGTGGTGTCTCTTAGGAACACCTGTATGTAGTCCTCTTGATGTACTAAAACATCAAAACTGAAAGATTACAGGAATAGCCAAGAAAAAGTAACCCATAATGGTTTTACTCTCACTGATTATGGGACAGACTTTCAAAAGCATGAGGTATTATTCTGTCTTGGGCCCACTGAAACCTGCTTTTGTTTTAGCAGAACGGGAACAGGCCTACAATAATATTGAGGACTTTGGGTAATAAATTCCTCGTGCAATTTCTATGTTTTACAAAAACTGGTATTTTGCATTCTGTTCTCATTTAAGCTCATTCAATCCAAGTGTCAAAATCCTATAATTGCTTAAGAATCTTGAATATAACTGGAAATAAACTTTCCAAAAACTACTCAGTACTCTCAAGTACAGTTTCTTTTGCCTACAGTCACTGCGGAGATGACAGCTCAGAAAACCAAAGTTGTGATGTAATATGTTAAACTCGTTAGATCTAAAGCTTCAATTAAAAACCCCAAGTTGCTACAGAAGTTACAGCCACTTGCACACACTCAGTCAATTTGTGTTTACACTCACAATAATTATATATATATAAATGCAAGCTCAAATTTTCACAAGGATCTTGGGCTTTTAATTTCAGCAAAGGGAAAGGAAATCCTCTGGGTTCACACACAAATATACGTGGTGCTCTTTTAAAAGGAAACAAAAGTCCAAGCATTGCTACAAAGACTATGTACATTAGGTACTAAACTGTGCTCTGTGTCTTCTAGACAACACAGGTAACTACAGGGACTTGGGTGACTTATATCAAATTCCCTGTGAGCCAGCCTTATATGTTATGCCAGACCTCATGCAGAAGCACAACAGATGGAAGGTTAAAGAAAAATACAGAGACTGGCTAATGGAAAAGCATTGCCTATTATACTTTGAATTCTGCATCTGCTATTTTAGTAGTGCTCAGATGCAATAAAGAGTCTCATAGCGAGAACATTATATAGCCTCCCAGTTACACTGAAGTCTAAGAGAGACCTACATATATCCCCAGAGAAAGAGAGATACAATGAGTGACCTTTGAAAGCAAATATTTGCTTCACAGTGATGTAAACACTTCAATGCAATAAATACAGGAAAATGAAAATGCTGCAATTTACTGTGGTAAAGACAACACTGCAATAAAATGTTCTTTTTTTTAAGCGCTCTCCCTGTTATTAAAGGGCACATCTATTTTTCCTGTGGAAGTCTGTAGCCAGAGGATGACTGCATTGGCGTATTCCACTAAAGGAGTCAGTCTGTCAATACCATAGTTTATGCTTCTTTCTTGAAGGATTGAAAGAGCTTTCCCGCAGTGGTGTGGCATTAGTAGAGCCACTGAAAACCTAAAGAAAGACTTTGCACCAAGCGTCTCAGGATGGATATTGAGCCATTTAAAGCTGGAAGTTAGTCTGTATCTATTCTACTTCCTTTTTCAACCTGGTTGTTGGTAGAAGGAGAAACACACACTGTCAAATGGTGGGGGTGAAGCTCAGCTACAGATGAAGGAGGTTATCACTGCTCCTCAGTGTTGCCTTGCAGCCTTCCAGTCGGCCCCCCAAGTGCTGTGCAAGGCAAGTTCAGCCACCACAGGACCAGGCACAAGGCAGTTCTGGGGCT